ATGTAGAAATTATTATTTTAAATGAAAAAAAAAACTTACATAAACATGAATTCGCTTTTACCTCGTTACATAAATTTCCGAACGTTATTAGAACACAAATGAAAATTTAGGAAGGAAACTTGGTATTAATCTCACTTTAAAAATATTTATAACATTACCTCAGTAAGTAATATATATTATATTTGTTGTAGCATACCTACGACCGATAATGGGTATGTCCTCATTCACATAAATACAGTAGTAAATACTGTATGTTGGTCTTCAGTTGGAGATAACTCTCCAGCTGTACTGGTCAAACTCTCTGCCTCCGGGAAGAAAAGGATTCCCAGACGAGGTTATATCGAAGGGCAGTCTCGTCTCGGGAAACAGCTACCCGACTCCTTTTTATACGGGGGCTACAGGGAATTTTTGTCTCGGATACCCCACATTAATTCCGGCATTGTGTCACATCTGACTGACTGGGGTGGTTGGTAGATATCATGCAGTTGGAGATTCGACTCGAGATGTGCTGGTCAAACTCTCTGCATCCCGACAGAGAGGATCCCCAGACAAAGTTATGTCGAAGAGCAGAGTCCCATCTCGGGGAACAGCTACCCGACCCCGTTTTATGCGGGATCTTCGGGGAAATTTTCGCCGGGACTATGGGCTCGGATACCCCACATTAAATTCGGGCTTGTGCCGCATCTGACCGCGTCGGGGCGGTTGGTAGATATCCCGCATTTGGAGATTCATTGCGGAATTCACTTGACTCACTTCTAGCAGTTGTCTACTTCTTCTACGCGCCGCTGGCGAATCTTATATGTGTTGTTCTTGTCCTAAGTATTATCGTTCATTACCAAACTTTGAGCGATTATTCTATTCATGAACCTTCCCTAGGTTATAACAATATTTGATCACGAACTACTTCCAAATAGTTGGGAAAATGAACGGTTTTCATTTCCGGGAAAATAATTCAATGAATATTAAGGTTTTCCATGAGGATCTCTTTGCTGATTCTACTGTGGAGAAATATTAAGATTTCCACATTAAGTATATGATTAATTCTTAACTGTTTGTAGGTCGTCGTCACAGACACCTAAGAATTTTCAGAAAAGAAAAGCAAAGAATTACGTCAAAATATGAGGATTAGCACTAGATTTATTTTTCATCAGTGTGCCTAAGTGGATTTTGATAATTGCGATGATCGAAACGAACTGACAAAAGTTCGACTGCCTTTTAAGCCATTCTGCATATGAATATTAGGTGTTAATTATCGCTCTTGCTTGAAGTTTAAAATAAGGTGTTGAAAGGCGGCGTCATGCAGTAATTAGAATCACCGTATTTTAAAAATTAAACAACTCATAAAATTCTTCATGTAATTCCGTAAAAAAAGACAAAAACAATTTTTATTCTTTTCTGCTGGGGATCTGTGAATGAACATTGCGCGATTTTTCTTTGTCCAATTCATAGAATCTCGAAGAAGGTTTTGCACTTAAACGTCAACCCTAATTCTTTTCCTGTCGTTGGAAATGAAAGAAAATGCTATAGCAATCTTTAAATTAAAAACAAAAACAGATTCTTTTTTTTTTTTATTATATTCTCCTTTTTTTAGACGTTTATAAAAGGAATGCCATTTCCTTCTCTGTTTAATAATTCATAAATATTTTAAGCGAATAATAAAAGCGTCTGATTAAATCATGCAAATAGTTTGCTGATGGGAAACGAGCAAAAATATTCCGAAACAAAGGATGAAAAGTTGAAACAGGAATTTTCCTCAAGGCCTTTTAACCGTACTTCTTAAATATTTATATCCATTATAATTATGTACAGTGCCCCCAAATGTTTACTCACAGGCCTCGGGATTCCAAGATCAGTTTCACCAGAAAGTCTTAGGTTATTTGGTGGCGGAAAGGCGTACCTTAGATATGGCACAAGGCCGAAAGCATGGGGCGCCCAGTGAAGATCGAACTAACACTCCAGTTGTAACTGTTTTAGCGAGACGAGCTTGCTAACCATTACACCACGTCGAGGTGCCCCTATTGATTTTCTAAGCATTGCTTAGATGTGGCACAAGGCCGAAAGTATGGGGCACCCAGTGTGGATCGAACTCACACTCCAATTATAACTGTTTTAGCGAGACAAGCATGCAAACCATTACACCACACCGAGGTGCACCTAATGATTTCCTAAGCTAGTTTAGATGTGGCATAAGCCCGAAAGCATGGGGCACCTAGCGAGGATCGAACTCATTATTCAGTCGTTATTGATCTAGCGAGACAAGCTTGCTAACCACTACACCGCCTCAAGGTGTCCAAAGTGCTTACCGTATATACTTGAATATAATGCGAGTTTTAGGATCAGTATTTATGTAAAAGAATTATTCTTACAAAGAAAAATGTGCATCTTTGGGCATCTTTTTTTGTATAAATGTAGGTTTTGGCATCTTTTTTTGCGTAAATGTAAATTTTGGCATCTTTTTTGCGTAAATGTAGGTTTGGGCATCTTTTTTGCGTAAATGTAGGTTTGGGCATATTTTTTTGGTGTAAATATAGGTTGTGGCATATTTTTTTTGCGTAAATGTAGGTTTTGTCATCTTTTTTGCGTAAATGTAGGTTTCGGCTTTTTTTTTTGCTCAAATATAGTTTTTGGCAACTTTTCTCGTAAATGTAGATTTTGGCATTTTTTTGGCGTAAATGTAGGTTTCGGCATCTTTTTGGGGGGCGCAAATGTAAGTTTTGGCATCTTTTTTGGGGGCAACTCTAGGTTATGGCATCTTTTTTTTACCGCAAATGTAGGTTTTGGCAGTTATTCGTGTGTAAATGTAGATTTTGGCATAATTTAGGGGGCGTAAATGTAGGTTTTGGTATCTTTTTTTGACGTAAATTTATATTTTGGCATCGTTTTTTGGCGCAGATGTAGGTTTTGGCATCTTTTTCGGCGTAAATGTATGATTTGTCATCTTTTGAAGGCCTAAATGTAGGTGTTTGCATCATTTTTTGGCGTAAATGTAGTCTTTGGCATCTTTTTGGAGGTGCAAATGTAGGCTTTGGCATGTTATTTTGGTGTAAATCTAAGTTTTGGCATGTATTTTGGCGCAAATGTAGGTTCTGGGTTTTTTTTTGCGCAAATGTAGGTTTTGGCATATTTTTGCGTGTAAATTTAGGTTTTGGCATCTTTTTTTTGGCGTAAATGTAGGTTTTGGTATCTTTTTTGGCGTAAATAAAGGTTTTGTCATCTTTTTTCGTAAATGTATGATTTGTCATATTTGTGGGCGTAAATGTAGGTGTTGGTAATTTTTGGGGGGCGTAAATCTAGGTTTTGGCATCTTTTTTTTTGGCGTAAATGTTGGTTTAGCTATCTTTTTTTGCGTAAATGTATGTTTTGTCATCTTTCTTCGTAAATGCCTGTTTTGTCAACTTTTTTTTGCGGAAATGTAGGTTTTGGCATCTTTTTTCGTAAATATAGGTTTTGGCATCTTTTTTTGCGTAGTAAATGTATGTTTTGGCATCTTTTTTTGTGCAAATGTAGATTTTGGCATCTTTTTTTGGCGTAAATGTAGGCTTTGGCACCTTTTGTTCTGTTTCATGCAACGATAGGTTTTGACATGTTGGATTCTATTTGGTGTGAATGTAGATTTTGGCATCTTCTGCTTCTTTTGGCGTAAATGTAAGTTTTGGCATTTTTGGATCTCTGTGTTGCAAATGTAGATTTTGACATCTTTGATACTGTTGGGTATAAATGCGGGTTTTAGCATTATGGATCTGTTTGTTGTAAATGTATATTTTTGTATTTTTGGTGTAAAATATTGGTTTTTGCATATTTGCTTCTGTTTAATTGCATGTTTAGCCATTTTTGGTACCATTTGGTGTAAATGTAGGTTTTGGCATTTTAGGCACTTTTAGTTGTACATTATGAAATGGACAAAGTCCGACAAAGTTGGAGGACGCATATTTTCTATTAAAATATTTCGGATATTCAGGCCGGTAAATGTTATTAATACTGCTTATTATAAACAGGGCATTTACTTAAATATTTTGTATCTATAAAAAGAACGTATAAACATGTTTTAAATAATTGTCGGACTTTGTCCATTTCATAATGTATGACGTCATTTGTTTACATTTGGATACGCATTGAGCAGATATGAATGAATAAGAGTAAATCATGACGAATTCTGTTTAAAAACAGTAAAATCGACCTTGCTAACCGAACGCTCCTCTGTGGCCCCACCGGTTAAGCCACATATTTTCTATGAAAATTTCTTGGACATTCAGGCCGGTAAATGTTGTTAATACTGTTTATTATAAACAGAGTATTTACTTAAATATTTGTATCTATAAAAAGAACGTATAAACATAAAAATGTCTTATATATATATATATATATATATATATATATATATATATATATATATATATATATATATATATATATATATATATATAAAACAAACTTCTATAGATAGTTTCAAAGAAGCCGTGGGAGATAGGTAGATAAAAAATAGGGAGATGAAGAGATTGAAATAAACAGATATGACAGATATGACAGATAGGGAGAGACATATAAATAAGATCAAATACGAGGGTCATTCAATAAATAAGGTCAATTTTTCGGCATAAGGACTTCTAATACAGATAGAAGCTTACTTTTTTAATTTATTTTTATTTTACTTCTTTTTCACATGGATTTAATTTCTTTTGCAAAAAACAAAAATTAAAAAAAAAGTTTTGGCGATTAACAAAGATGGCTGACCAAGAAGCATGCTCCAGGATTGAACAGCGGTCAGTTATCAAGGTTTTGGTTGCTGAAGGGTGCAAACCAGTTGAAATTCATAGGAGAATGTCAACTGTGTATGGTGCTACATGTTTCAGCCAAAAAATGTCTACAAGTGGGCTAAATTGTTTAAACAAGGACGGAGCAGTGTTGAGGATGAAGGCAGGCCTGGGAGGCCTACAGAAGTGAGGTCTCCTGAGGTGATCGAATCAGTCAGTGACCTCATTCACTCTGACAGAAGGGTGACAATGGATGACATTGCAAGGACTTTGAGCTTATCTATTGGGACAGCACACAAAATTGTCCATGATGACCTTGGCTACTCGAAGGTCAGCTGCCGGTGGGTGCCAAAGATGCTTACTGCAGAGGACAAACAGAGGAGGGTCAAGTTGTCCCAACAGTGTCTCTCCCGCTATGAGAAGGATGGTGATGAGTTTCTGAAGAAGGTGGTCACATGTGACGAGACATGGGTTTGGCACTATGAGCCTGGGTTCAAACGGCAGTCCATGGAGTGGAAGCACGTAGGCTCTCCAGCGAAGAAGTTCAAGTCCCAGCGGTCCACGAGGAAGGTTATGCTCACCGTGTTTTTGGGATATGCAAGGCCCAATCACCATTTCATTCCTTGAGAAAGGAAGCACTGTGAACAGTGCCAACTACTGTGAACTGTTGAGGCAGGTCAAGAAAGACATAAAGAACAAACGCAGGGGTCATCAGTCAGAAGGAATCATCTTGCATCATGACAACGCAAGGCCTCACACAGCAGCCCAAACGGTGCAGACCATCAACGAGCTGGGCTGGGAACTGCTCCCTCATCCCCCTTACAGCCCAGATCTTGCCCCTTCAGACTTTCACCTGTTTGGTCCCTTGAAAGCGTTCACGAGAGGTACGAAGTTTAAACGTGATGATGAAGTCAAAAATGTTGTGAGCGACTGGCTGAGACATCAGTCCAAATATTTTTACGCTGAGGGAATACGGAAGCTTGAGCACAGATGGGAAATGTGTGTGACAGTGCTGGGAGACTAGGTTGAAAAATAAAAAAAAAGTAAGCTTGTATCTGTATTAGAAGTCCTTATACCGAAAAATTCACCTTATTTATTGGATGACCCTCGTACATTGATATGTAGACATAGAAAGAGATAGATGGGAATAAACAAACCGATAGACAGAAAGATCTATTTGCAACTCTGATTATAGATAGATATGGAAGGATACAGATAGATATAGAAGGATACAATCTGTCCTACTATTCAACCCATAGATGGGAGAAGAAGAGATGCATTCATATCTTCCCCAAGGATATTTTTGCGTAAATGAATGTAACGAACCCAACGGGAATTTGAACTCAGCTCTGTGATTTCTCATTAAGAATTGATATACATTTCGTCATAACGCACATCCAAATAATGATAACTACTTAACTCGAAATTTCAGATAGACATAGAAAATATTATATATATGGTCGGAAGGATCACGGTGTGGACAACGGCCGAAAAGTTTTGATATGAACAAAGATGAGGACTTTCGTCCGAATGTAAATACATGAAAGAGATATCGACAAGGTAAGTTTGGACCTGTATAAAGGAAAATTCACCTAAAATTCATTTACGTAGACGCTGTTTCTTGAAAGAACACATTATCGTTTGGATAGAGAGCGAGCGATCATAACACGAATGTGTTTGATCATAATTTGGTTTATATTGAAAGCCTTTGTCAGTAAATATTGCCTTGTTTTATCCGGCAAATCATTCCTTTTCGACTCCAAGGCGAATCTGATTAACTCTTGGAAAACAAAGTGTAAAGGATTTCCGTTATGAAAACATGGCCGCTAGTTTTATTTGCCAAGTCATCATGGCAGCAGACACGAAAATTGCGAATATGAATAATCTTTGATGTTAATCCGGATCTTCCACTTTTATTTGCCGTATCCTTTCAATACATACGTGATTATTGCCCTTCACATCTTCCTGTCCCTTTTAGCTCTTAATAAGTTATGTCTTTTTGTTATTTATCCCAAACTCTGTTTTGACATCCATTTTTACAAGTTCATCAAGTATGTTACGCACTGCTTTCCCTATCTTTCTTTATCTCTCAATCTGTCCCCTGAATATCGGGTTTTTTTCAAGCTATCTTTCTTCGTTACATACCTCAGAACATCAACTTATCTTGATATTAATTATGAGTTTCCTTTTTGTTTCCATTCTCTCGAAAACCTCGTTGTTGCTCACATGTTCAGTCCAGGGTATCCTCAGCATCTTTTTACAGAACCACGTTTCTGTTGCTTCAAGTCTCTTCTTCATCTTTGAGGAGATTGCCCAGTATTTGCTGCCATATTGGAGGAAAGCTATCATGTAACAGTTCAGTACTCTATTCTTTGCTTCTAACGAATCCGCATATTAGGTCTAAACCCATAACTCATCTGTTAATGTGTGCGACTAATTCAGGATGTAGGCGGGAGATCATAGGTTTCTTCAACGTTCTGTTCCATGTAATTAAAATCAACATCTAATTCTGTACATCCCTCCTAGTCCCCGCTCTAGTTTACTCTCTTCTCTCTGTGGTTCTCCAACCCTCAGTGTGGCCTGCAAGTCTTAAATTCTCCAAGCTGTCTTTCTTCATTTTATGTCCTTGAAGTTTCAACTGTCTCTTTCTGAGATATTTCCATTTTTTAAAAATTACCATTGTCGTTAAATTTTGTGCTTCTGGGTAAAGATTTCTGTCACATAATTCTTGCTGTCACGTGTAAGTTTTTTTTTTTTCGTTTTTTTTTAATGTGTTTTTGCAAATTTTAATATTGTAAAAAACTAATTAATTAATTGCTATCAAATAATCATTGATAGCAAACTCGATATACAAATTACTCAATCGGTATTTTTGTGGTTGTTCTATTGAGATGCCCCCGAAGGCATGAAAGGTTCAGTCCCTGGCATTCTCACTACTCATCTGTTTAACCACATCACTGTCGCTTTGGGCTTCAATTTCATCTGCAATATTCCAGCATTCTATCACATAACAGTCGTTATTTACTAAGCTTAGCGCAGCTTGGCACAAGGTCAATATTATGGATCAAACATGAGGACCAAATCGCGACTCAGTATTAATGACCAACCAGATTAACTTGTTATCCATTACCTACATTAAGGCACCTATTTCTGATCAATTGCTACTATTATTTAATAAACCAAGAACAAGGCCAAACGCAAAGGGCACTCGGTACGGATTACATTCACTACTCAATAGTAATGATCAACGAGATAGACCCGTTAACCGTTACCACATAATGAAGGTTCCTGTTGGTGTTTACCAAGGTCTGGTTAGTTTGGCATAAGGTCGTAAACAAAGAGTACCCAGTTCGTATCGAAAACACTTCCTCTTTTTTCTCGTGTCCCTTCGATCAATTATTTTCTTCTGCCTCATTCATTTTTTTTTTCAGTTTCATTCATTCTTTTCTTGTGTTTTTTCTGCTTCATTCTTTCTTTTCTTGTTTTTTTTTATCTCCCTCATTCATTCTTTTTACGCTTTTTTTCTGTAAAATTCCTTCTTTTCTTATGTATTTCTACTGCCTAATTCATTCTTTTCTAATATTTCTACTGCCTAATTCATTCTTTTCTAATATTTCTTCTTCAATCTAATTCATTCTTTTCTAATATTTCTTCTTCAACCTAATTCATTCTTTTCTAATATTTCTTCTTCAACCTAATTCATTCTTTTCTAATATTTCTTCTTCAACCTAATTCATTCTTTTCTAATATTTCTTCTTTAACCTAATTCATTCTTTTCTAATATTTCTTCTTTAACCTAATTCATTCTTTTTTAATATTTCTTCTACCACATTCATTCTTTGCTACAGTTTTATTCTTATGCTTCATTCATTCTTTACTTATCTTTTTTCTTCCACTTTATTCATTCTTTTTTACGCTTTTCTTCTGTAACATTCCTTCTTTACTTATGTTTTTCTTCTTCTGCCTCATTCATTTGTTTTCTTGTCTTTCTGCTTCTGCCTCATTCATTCTTTTCTTATATTTCTTCTTCTGATTCATTCATACATTTCGTTTTTTTTATTCTGTTTCATTCATTCTTTTCTTGTTTTTCTTCTTCTTCTTTGCTATTGGCCTTTTCTTATACTTCATTCTTATGTTTTTTCTTCTATTTTATTTATTTCTTTGTTACGTTTCTTCTTTTGCTTCATTCATTTTTTATGTTTCTACTTCTACCTCATTCATTCTTTTTTTTACGATTTTCTTCTGTAACAATCTTTCTTTTCTTATATTTTTCTTTTTCTGCTTCATTCATTCTTCTGCTTTCCTTAAGCTTTCTCATCTTTCTTCTTTGCTTTTTCTTTTTTTATCCAATAGACAATCGGATTGCACAACCTGAAAGCTAAAGGTATTTATCTCCATCCATTGTAATGGAGTCTTAGTTAAATTTTACAAAAAAAAATATCACTTTTTAAGCTCATAAAATATTTACAAGCAGAAGGAAAATAATGTTTTCTCTCTTATTTAGCAAAAACGAAAACAAAACAATTAATAAAACAAAAAACAAAAAAAAAACGGGCATTTATTTATATTAAATAGAATAAAGAGAGAATATGTTTCGGTTTTACGAGCCACCATATTTTCATACAGATGCAAACATGAATGCGTTTATTTGAAAGCGTGAAATTAATTTTAAATAATTGGCAGAGGTTAAAAAATATTCTTTAATATAAAACATAATGTGAGTTTTTGGATTTATCGATCACGCAGCCTGAACTTCGCTTGTTAGTAATATGATATTCCGTTGTTATGGTAAAACGAGTCCTTGCAAGATGCCAGTATGTGAACATGCCTCCTGCTGTTACATACACGAAATATTTAATTAATAACTAGCTGTAAATTATTTTTTTTTATTTCATATGCTAGAATTGTTTTTTTTACATTTAAGAATTTTGACAGAACTCTAACATATTACAATAAAATTATACATAAAAATCCTAGATTAATCTCATAGAAAATATAATTGTTAAACTAGCCTTTCTGCGAAATTAATAAAAAGGTAGCCTTTCTACGAAATAAGTTAAAACAAAATAATCTATATTATAGAAGAAGACGTGATTTTCTGTCCGTCGCGCAATGTGTTTGATTGTATGCACGGATGTAATATACACTGCGTGCCAAATTATTATCGAGATGACTTTTTTTCTAATATTTAAAAAAACGTCCAATCAATTCACACAAAACTTTCACACAATGTTGTCAATACTGACCTGCAATTTCTGAAATTTTCGTACTGATCTGCGCAATGAAAACAAACTGGCGCCATATTTGTTATCAGCACGGTGATTTGAGAGTGTCAAATTATTAGAAAGGTTTAGTAAAATTCCCAGATATGAGCAAACAAAACGTTTATTAATGTTGCACGGGAATATTTATGATCAAAAGAAGCTAATAAATAAGATAATCAAACAAATAATAACAGATACAAACAAAGGCACAGTTTTAAACAAATTAATAGGGAATGTGCTTTCCCTGTTTTGAAATTACTTGAAGAAGTCGACGATCCATAGAATTTGTTAATTGTAGGATGTCATCTACTGTAATGCCGCGAGATATGTCAAGAATTGCTTTCCACAACTCAGCGTTGCTCCTGAATTGTCGTCCGTTGGTGTACGCTTCATGATGCTCCAAAAGTTTTCGATTGGATTCAAATCGAGGTCTATCGAAGGCTAACTGTTTAAATTATTCAGTAGTCTTGTGAGTAGCATGTGAGGGAGCATTATCTTGCATAAAAACAACGGCCCTTCTGAAGGCAACTCTTTGTGTTTTCATCCACGGTTCAAGATGCTCCTTCATAAACGCTATGTATGCATCAGCAGTCATTTTGACGCCATCTGGTACTCTCCATGGGCCCACTAATGTTTTTCCAATAATACCACCCCAGATCATTATGCCTCCACCGCCTTGTTGACGTCTCAAACGCTGATGGCGATTCTGTCCGTTTATTACCCAGCCTTTGCACCATTTATCTGGCCCATCAAATGTTGCTCGAGTTTCGTCTGTGAACAAAACTTTAGAGAAGTCAATCTTCATATTGTCCTCGGCCCATTTTAATCGATTTTGAATGTGATTTCTCGTCAACAGAGGCTTCGATACAGGTTTTATTGTTTTCCCTCATATACCGACATCGAGTACTTTTAGACACAGTAGGATCCCCAATACGACTGAAAAGCTCTTGACTGGTAAGTCCAGGGTTATTCGTGGCCCCTCGTTTAAGTCGTGACATGAGACGACGTGAAATAACCTTCGGCTTGCCTTTATCTGCCCTTTTGCATACATGTGTAGGGTCGGCGGTGAACTTTTTCACTGTCTGATGACACCTCCCTATCATTTTAGAAATTTCTAGGGTAGATTTACCTTTTGAGAGTTCTGAGGTGATAGTTTTCTTTTCAGCATCACTTAAACTGCTTTTACGGCCCATATTTTCACTAAATTCTTACACTTTTCTAATAATTTGGCACGCTCATATGAAGAGACATAGTAACTCCTTCATATAGATAGATAATGAGCAAAAATGTATAGATTGATAGATAATTATAAAAAAAATTTCGCTTCTAATACCCGGTATTTCAAAACCGTGTTCCATCCAAAGTCGATACTGCTTAACTTCGGTGATCAAATAAGAGCTGGTGTATATGTATATATATATATATATATATATATATATATATATATATATATATATATATATGCGTACACGCATGTACACCTGAGCATACACGGACGTAAATTTATCCAATTTCACATAAAATGAAAGAAGGGAAAATGTGCATAAATTAATATTATTTATTAAATAAAGAAAACTAGAAAATAAACAGAGATACATATGTCGTGAGATAGATATGAATAGACTGAATTAGACAGATAGAGGCATATGAACAAATTAACATACTTAGCTAACTATCAGAGTTTGTCTATATTTCTGAGATGAGGTATTATGTACAGTATTTACATTAGTCGGACTATTGTCCTCATCTTTGTCGCCATATTTGTCACAACGTTTCGGACACATGGCACAGTGGATAAAGGCGTTGGTTAGATCCAGTGACAGACCCAAAGAAGGTGAGTTCAATTCCTGGTTAAGGCAGTGGAGAACTTTCAGAGGGAAAATTAGCAGGAGATAACTGATAACTGACATCCATCAAACATGGCACGTGGAATTAGAACAGTCTACCCCAGTGATCGAAATAAAGGGTTCAGTTCGAAATTTCAACCACCTGAAAAAGGCCGGAGCGTACAACGGCCGAAACGTTAGCTAACTATATATATATATATATACTTGACAATATTATTGCTTTATATATATACATATATACATAAAATTTCCAAAAGGATAGAATCCAGTTAGAACAGTCCAGGTCAGAGTAACAATATAATATAAAAGGCTCAAACATTATATATATATATATAGATAGATAGATAATGAACAAACTGGGATAGATAGATAGATAATGAGAACAAACATAGATAGATAGATAGATAGATAGATAGATAGATAGATAGATAGATAATGAGCAGACTGATATATATATATATATATATATATATATATATATATATATATATATATATATATGTAAAGAAGGTAGATAGATAGATAGATAGATAGATAGATAGATAGATAGATAGATAATGAACAAACTGGAATAGATAGATAGATAATGAACAAACTGGAATAGATAGATAGATAGATAGATAGACAGACAGACAGACACAGACAGACACACAGACAGACAGATAGATAGATAATGAGAGTAAACATAGATAGATAGATAGATAATGAGCAGACTGATATATATATATATATATATATATATATATATATATATATATATAAAGAAGATAGATAGATCGATTGATAGATAATGAACAAACTGGAATAGATAGATAGATAGACAGACAGACAAACAGACACACAGATAGATAGATAGATAGATAGATAGATAGATAGATAGATAGATATGAACAGAGCAAGATATAGATAAACAAACATGGCAGATAAAGATATCTACTGATATAAATTTCATCAATCAATAAAGAAATCGTAAGAATTGTCACATGTTTTGTGCATGCAATTGATGCATCTATGTAAGCTGAAAAGAAAGAAATGCGCTGAAAATCGAAAGCAGAATCAAAAGTAGAATAAATATTTTTCGCTGGTGTAAAATGAATGAAAAATCTGACGCCAAAGAGGAACTAACACCGAATTTTGCATGAAATGCTTGTGAAAATTATATGTTTCCCTAAAGCAAGACAACCGATTTTTGTTCTGCTTATTTTTTTTTATCGCTCGAGTCACAACCAAGAAAGAAAGGAGAAGGTGACACCAGGGGAGATAACCTGATCAGCTTTGCGAATAAATACGTCGTTCATATCAGCATAGAAAATGGAGAAGAAAAGCATACGAAAGGTGTTGAGAATATTAGATCTCTCTGCTGAGCGTAGGTGTAACAGATTTAGCATGACGATTCGTGTAATTACAAAATGCGGCTCCATAAAAATTTTCCATAAAGTATAAAAGAATACTAATCGAAATATTCTTCAAACAAGCTCATCTCGCAGATGTAATGGAAATTATGATGAGTAAATATTTTAAATTCATTCTAGTTGGAAATCATGTTTCGTATACCATATTTTCTTAAAATATTTAGCCATTGAGTGAGTTTCCTGCTCATTAAAGGGGCGGGCTGTTTTCTCTTATTTAATATTAACAAAATCTGTGTTAACTACAGCAGCAGCAACATCAGAAGTCTTTATGTTTAAAGTGAAGTGTACGTGTGTCCGTCCGTCGGTCCATTTTCTGGTGAATCATAAACAACCTGAAGTAACAGGTAGTAACTATTGTAGTTACACGCGATTAAACAGGTAAAGTTAAATTAAAAAAAAAAAATTCTTTATTAAAGGTTTAACTTTAATTTCAATTTCATCGCAATTGATATCGTCTACGTAAACCGTAATTAAAAATTAAGCGCGGCTCGGTATGTTGCTCATATGTTTTTTTTTTGTTTTTTTTTGCTTTTTCTATCACGCGTAAGGTGACATATTCAAAATATTAATTAGTCGCGTTCCTAAATGTCTTTGAAGATGAATGTATGTGAACGGATCATAAAGAATGGTGATTTTAAAAGAAAACAAAAATTGCGCGCAAAATAAATGTAAACAAACTACGGAGATTGGATGCGTATACGAAGAAAGATTATGCCGAATTGAGAATTAAATAATTATATTATTTCTAAATTCTTAACTTTTATATAGATAGGACGCTAAAGGTAAACAGTCAGAGGCCCAAAAGCCTCAGGAAGAAGCTAGCCTAAAGTCCACCTAAGTGCATCTTCTAGGCTAGTAATAAATATAATTGGTTTATATTTATAATCACCCTTGATTGATCTTTTGAACAAGAGTAGAGGCTTAACTCTTGTTTCCTTTTAGGACTGAATGTCCGGTTCCTTCTAAAGTTTACTTAAAAATCTATAATTCGAACATAGTAAAAAGATTCACTTATCTCCCTGTTCACACTGACACTGGACTTTTGAGGCTTATTCCTCATTTCGTGTAAAGGACTGTGTTTCCGGTTCCTTCTAGATAGGTTCGCCCATCATCATGTTCACACACGTTTCTTGTCTTTTAGACAGGAGTAGAAATTTATCTTTTGCTTTACCGTTTAGGATTTGGTTTCCGGTTACTTATAAAATCTGCTAACGAAGTAGATAGGTTCACATATCGTCCGGTTCACACTCTTCCTGGTTCCTTTGAACAGTAGTAGAGACTTATCCATTGTTTCCTGATTGGGTTTCCGGTTTCTTCTAAAATCTACTTCAGTTCTGAACCCCTAACGTAGTAAATAGGTACTCTTATCGCCCGGGTCACAAACTTTCCCTGTCTTTTGAACAGGAGTAGAGACTTATCCCTTGTTTCCTGTTTGAGATTTGGTTTCCGATTACTTATAATATCTACTTCAAATTTATACATCTTACGCAGTAGATAGGTTCGCTTATCACCCGGTTTAGACTCCTCTCTCGTCTTTTGAGTTTTATCCCTTTTTTCTGTTTGGGCGTTGGTTTCCGATTCCTTATACTATCTACTTCAAATTTATACATCTTACGCAGTAGCTAGGTTCGCTTATTACCAGGTTTACACTCCTCTCCGGTCATTTGAGGTTTATCCCTTTTTCCCCGTTAAGGATTAGTTCTTCCGTGTTCTTCAAAAGTTTATTTCAACTCTATACTTCTAACGTAGTAGATAAATTCGCCTATCATCTTGTTTACTCTCCTTCCCATTTATTTTAATCAGAAGCGGAGATTTATTCCTTGTTTCCTCTTCAGGATTGGGTTTACGTTTTCTGCTAAAGTATTTTCATTATCTTTCACCCCAAGTAACCCTTTCGTCTTAATGGCTTTATCTCCTTGCTTGTGGCAATTGACTATTATTTATTACTTTTATTAATCATTTAAACACTTTTTCTTACTAATAGTTCACACAATACATGATCCAAGCCCCACGTAAGGTCAAAGGTTACTGCGTAATATTTTAAAGTAGAGGGAATTAAGAGAGTATTATGATGATGAGTGGCATAGATATTCATTTACCCTGGAAGGTTGAACTTTTCAGGGAAATGTTATCTCGAGTATTTTTTTCAGCTGTCTGCGCGGAACTCGATGTGAAGGAAATGGGGTTGGTTTGCCGCCGTCTCTCATAGCAATTGTGATGTATTAGTGAATGGCTGGCGACAGAAAACGCATCAGCGGTTCAGGATCACCGGGCTGAAAACTGAGACAGAAGGCCTGATTATTACAGATCAGGACCAAAATCTTGTAACCAGATCCTATCACTGTCACCTTTGTGGTGTCCTCCGTCTAAAGATTCTATGTTAGACTCTTCCGCTTACTGTAAAATTAGTAGGAGAGAAGGCCTTGGGGGAACAGTCGAATAAATTGAACGCTGGGTCAACCGACACACACTCACTAGTCATGTAACATTCTTCTGTTGTACTTACTGTTTAATATATAATTTATCTGTAACACTTGTTTTGTTGTTTTCTTTAACCATTTAGGATTCGAAGAAACGGACTTCACGTTAAATCATAAAAAAAATTGCCAGTGTCTACAACAGTGGTGAAGAAAAGAATTCTAATCAAACTCTACGACAAAAGGGTATCCAGTGTTAATTACAACACTAACAGTGAAAAAAGAAACTCTTCAAAACATTAGGATTTCTATAATTTCAATTTATTAGTTAGGAAGAAGGTTGGTGAACCTTGTAATGTTTCCATTCCAACAACTCAGTAAAAGAACTGTACAAGTCAAACAGACTTATTGTTTTCGCTAATAGGGTAAAGTAAAAATTTACCCCCTCTCCCGCTTTTAAATTTTTCAATAAAAGAATCGTACAAGTCAAAAAAAATTATTGTGGGTTAAGAGGGTAAAGAGAATAAAAATCCCCCTCTCATTTCTTAATTTTACGTACCACCGCAGTAAAATGGACGAATTTAAAAGTGAAATGCTAGAGTTGATGAAACACCAACAGGAACAACGAAAACAAGAGAAATTCCAATGAGAACAAGCAGAATATCAGAAGAATTTTGAGAAATTGTACCTAGAAATTCAGGTTAGACAACAGAAACGGGAAGAAATGCTCCTTCAAACACAGAATGGGCAAAGGCATTTGTATAATATATCCATCAAAAACCAAAATGAGGAGAGCGAAAACGCGTTCTCTCAAAATGCTAGATAGAGTGCTATTGAAAACTTCACGTTTGTACCTGAAGAAGAAATTACATTCCCTTCATACTTTAAACATTACGATTGTGCAAGTTCGGCTGACCATAAAAAGGTTCGCCTACTCCTCAGGAAATTAGGCACAGCAGAATATATTAAGTTTGTTAACTATATTTTGCCTAAGAAAACCAGCGACTTGAAATTTAAAGAGGAGGTTCAATCCTTAACAGAACTCTTAGGTCCAAAAACATTACTGTTCCACAAGCGTTGGAAATGCATGAATCTCACCCGCAAAGAAGACGAAGATTATACAACTTTCGCGATTGTAGTCACTAAACACTGCGATATCTTCAAATTGGCAGAGTTAAGCGCCGATAATTTTAAATGCCTAATTTTTGTCCAGGGTTTGATTTCAGCGGAAAGCCGAAATAAGTCGTAGGGTACTCAACAAGCTTGAAAACGAGCCCGACGTTACTTTACAGCAAGTTGTTGAAGGTTGCCAACGTTTCGTGAGCGTCAGAGAGGATTCGAAAAAAACATCGAACAGAATGGCGGGACTCACGTTAAAAAATACGCCAAAGAAAAATTAAGAAGGTCAACCAAAAAATAATAAAGTTACTGTGCCGTCAAGACCATGTTCAGGGTGTGGTCAATTACATTGGTATAGAGATTGTCCTTTTAAAGATAAAAAAAACATGTTTTAATTGCGATAAATTAGGACACAAAAGTTCCTACTCAAGGATTAAGAACAAGACAAATTAAGTTTTATAAAAATTAGTCTGATGAACCAGAAAGTCGTAACATCAGGAAATATATTGATCTCCAAATATTTAATCAAAATATATGACTACAGCTTGATTCGGGTTCAGACTTATCCATAATTAATGCACAAAAATGTCTACTAAGTTTGATTTAAAGCCAGACGTTAACCAAATTTTTAAGAAAAAACGTAACGTTCCATTTGCCTCGTTAAATCAAATTGACGAGGCGTTGAATAGACTTGAGGAAATGGGAGTTCTGGCAGAGGTTAAATATAGTGAATGGGCATCTCCCACAGTTTATATTTAAAAAAAAAGCAAAGAAATTCGTGTATATGCTGACTTCTCTACGGGACTAAACAGCGCCCTAAATGATCACCATTATCCTCTTCAAAGTCCAAAGGAGATATTCGCTAAGCTCAGTGGAGGAAAATATTTAAGATTGATTTAAGCGACGAATATCTACAGATACCCGAAGAATGCTCGAAGCACCTTTGCATAAACACCCACAAGGGTTTATACAAATTTTTAAGACTTCCGTTCGGGGTTAAGGTCGCCCCTTCGATTTTTCAACAGGTCATGGACACGATGTTAAATGGTTTGGATCTTGCGGTGGCCTATCTCGATGACGTCTTAATGAAACCGAGAGCATCGAAGAACATAAATCGCACGTCTGGTAGGTGATCATGAGAATCCAGGATTACGGATTCCAATTAAAAGACGGGAAGTGTGAGTTTTTCTTAGAGAGGATTAAGTACTTGGGGCAAATAATTGACAAAGACGGAAGACGTCCCGACCCAGATAAGGCAACGGCAATAAAGAACATGCCAGCAAATATGTAGGTCCTTCAAATTTTTTTAGGTCTTGCCAATTATTACAAGGTTTTTGTCCCAAGAATGAACAGTTTGATGGATTATTGAGAAAAGATAAA